TCAATTGACTCTAAAGTAGATGCCGTTGCCTTATTTATTGGTGTGCAACCTTTCAGTTCCTTAGTGCTCTAGGCATGGTCCAATGAATTATATCCTTAATTTGTCCAATGAAAGTCACAGTAAATGCATATTCTTTGAGAAATTTATTATAAAACATTTAGGAAGTATTTAGCTCCTCATACGGTCATACCTTGAATAATTAAGAATTCTGGAGTTAGATGCAACTAGAATGGGTGCAGACTAAGAATACGGTCTAGATTCTCATGGCGTGTAGTAAGATATGTACGTGTAGCTAGAATGGTTTAGATCTTTCAACGAAGATGCAACTTTCCTGAACTCTTAAGCTATATATTTTTCTTCCAAATTGTCTGCGAGTTATTTGGTATTTCTAATGACTAGACGCATCTAAAGGAGAGACATGTGCTAGCATATCCCTTGGCCCCAGCAAGCTAATATTAGCTGAAGCTCAAAACGTGCTGTTCAAATATAATTAACTTTTAAGTGATGTCAACTCGTCGTTGACCTATAAACTCTAATCAAAGATAACTCTAGCATCTTTTTAGTTTGGTCTTGATAGCTCTGATTTGCTTAGAAGTGTTGTAATGATAATTTATTATTTATTTGGCAGGTTGAAGGCTAGACATCATTTGGGAATCAGGGAAATGATTTATCAGTTTTCGTTGATCTGGTCTACTGGAAACTGATTTTGTTGGAAATGACAATAAATTTGTACTGCCACACATGATTCCCAACAGTTTAACTACAGTAATTGTTTCTTGTTCACAGGCTTTGCCCTTAAAAGCAATTGAAAGCAGTAGTACGTTGTAGGGACTCGATATAAGTTTTGATTTGGCAATGAATTTCTAAATATTACTACCTTCAGTTTTAATTATAAGACCTCATAAACTTAAGACCGGAGATAGTAATATGCAGCCCAAAAAGCCAACAAAAAGATGAAAAAGGAACTGGACTGACGAGAAGAGCAAGTGTTATCAGTAAACCGAACTTTTTCAAGTCTGGTTTCCTTAATAAAAAAGGTCTGGCTTCCTTAATCACTCGGTGCTTCAAATATTCAGGATATCAAGGCTGTCAAGCGATGGGCTTGTTATATTGCTTGCCGCTTAATTTACTTGTTGGGTATTTTGTACTATCTTCTAAATATAAGAACTAGCTGAGAGTTAGATTTAGTCCCAAATATAAAATTTCAATTTAGGTTATCTTTTATCTTCTCCCAAAATATTTTTATTGATTGACTGTGAAGGGTTCTTACCAAAGGATACGTGATTGAAAAGGATAGTCTAAGAAAATCAATACATGTTTGTGACAAATAATTAGTTAACTAATTTTGCTAATATCTTTAAATTAGTTATCTAGTTTTGATATTAAGGACTGGAGGTGGGATTACAAATAATTCAACTGATAAATATTAAACCTAAAACAGAGGCATGGGATGAGAAGCAGCTAATTGTTCAACGTTAAACGGTTTCTCATTGAATGTGGCACAGTCTGGCTAGGCATTTTACAAAAACAGCAATCTGGCGATTTCTTGATGGTTTGAGCAAATGTGCCACAGCCTTATCCGGCGCACACAATTCTTACTTCTCTTTACAGGGTATGTGGAAGACATGTGAATAAGTGCTACAAAGAATTAAAGATAGAACAGCAGTGAATTCACTTATTCCAACAACGTTCAGAATCCAAGTTATTTTATATGAGCAGTTAATTTTGCGTTGTCTGCCTTGTAAGAGTGTGGTTGGATATCAGTTTGAAGGGGTAAACTCTTGCAAAATCAGTTTTCATTGAATGATCATTTGGCTTTTTTCTTTCATTTTCAAATAATTTTATTAAAGGAAGACATGACACAAAGCAAGATGTCATGACATCAGATGTTTTAATATAATATAAAAGTTAGATGTTTTAACAAAGTAGTTTGAACTTTAGCGGAGCATGTCACTTCTTCACCACCTGTAACAAATAGGTTCGTGTTCATACGAGAGATTGGAAGCTACATTTTCTTGTGTATCTAAAAGAATGAACGTATAAATATGCACGGAAGATAAAATAAATTTTTTCTTGTTACGTAAGTAAAGAGAAAAAATAGTTAACCTAAAAAAAGAAACAACCTCATGACTCCTATCCCATTTTGAAGGGCTAGATTTTCAAAGACGTTTTCATTGATCAATAGAATCCTCTATCATGAAGACATTTACAACTCCACAAGGGTCAAAATAGGACTATATCATAGTCATTCGAACCAAGAGACTCGAGAAAGTTGAATTATATGCTACATGAATCATCACTTGAACTTCAGAAAGAAGACTCATGAGAGATTAATCTCTCCACACAGGAATAATCCCTTGTGCAGCCAAACGTTTCTCAACCCAGAAGATGACGTGTTTTGCTGTAATTTTCTTTTCATCAATGAGGAATGGCTCAACAGTGCTTGCTTGTGAATTATAAGATGATAGAGAGAACCCTTTTGGACCTGTTCAAGGACACAAATCAAATGGTTCTGATAACGTTTGACAAGGATTAATTACTTTGATAAACCAATAGCAGTGGAAAATACACATACCAGTAAGCACTCCATTGGGAAAGAAAGCCCAAAATGAATAGGGATTTCCTTGTTTCAAAAAGGATCCTTCCAGCTGTTAATTAAGATCAATCGAATAAGTCAGCAAGGAAGGGGGAAAAATCAATCCAATGTAACAAGTTAAGTTAATCCAATCCTTAAAGGAAAGTTTCTTATTTAGAAAAAGAGGATATTATTGCATGAAAATGTCATTTGATCATTAAATATAAGCGTCCTCCAAAATTTTTTTCCTACAAATAATAGAGCAATAGCTCTTGACTCTAATATACCTGCTCCACTGTGTTGGTGACTCCTCAACTTAGCCCAAGTTTTAAGGGATAGAAAAGAATTAATGGGAAGATACAAAAAGCATATTACCAACCTTATTGTCCTGAAAGGCCAGCTCAATGTCAGAGATGTCCTGCTGGGCTTCAAGTATTGCTTTCAATGAAGGTATCACATCCTCCTCCATCATCTGAGGCAGAGGCTTGACTGGTGCTTTAGCAGGAGGTTTCTTTGCAGGTGCTGCTTTTGGAGCTGCATTTACCTCCTCCTTTGTTTCAGCAGTTTCTGTGGCCAGAAAGTAAAATCAATATCAACAATATATGTAAGAAGAATTGGAGGATTGGTATTATTCTAAACTCATGACTAGTACTAACTTGTCTCTCGCTTTGTATTTAATTTTGTGTATCTAATTGTTTATACTACTATTTAATAAGGCCCTGTGAAGTTAAAACCATCCCTTTATTTGTATGAACATTTCCCTTATGTATAACTTTGATTAGATTAATTAGCTTGTGGAAAAAAGTTATTGGTGGAGCATTATATTATAAATGCAGAAACTCACTTGCTGTACTAGTGGAAGATTCTTGAACGGCAGAGCAAGTGATCTTGTATCTGCTTGAAGTTGCTAGCTTACTTGTAGTCTACAGCTCAAGCAAAGCAGACATTGAAAGTAAATTTTCTCATAAATTCACAATATCCCAGAGAAACATGATTATTAGGATTGAAATGAAAGAATTGTATTATGATACTTTAATCATATCAAAAGATTTCAGCTATCCAGAGGACAACCTCTTGAAAAGATGCGTTGCCACGATTCAATTCTTATTTTTACATAGAGATGCTTATATTTGTTTGATCAATAATAATTTCCACGCAAAACTAAAGTTAAAATACTTTAAATTTTCAAAAGATTCAACTTTTCATAATGAGAGAACAGTTGTTCGGCTAACAAACTACCAAATCATGTTTTAACAGCAGGGTTAAGTTTATATATTAAAGACAGGACCTATAAAGCTGAAACTACAAAACACGAAGGGACATCAAATTATATTAATCTCTACGCCTTAACTCACAGAAGACATTAAACAAACACAGAGAGGTCATGAATTGTCTTGACAAATTAAACTTCCAAGTTCACTTTATCCAGAAAACCCAGAAAAGAATAACTACTCAATAAGCTGAAAGAGGTCAAATCATAGTTGAAACTTCTCACCAGAGGGAGTATCAATGACGACGACGAACTGCGTATGAAATTCTGGGCAAAATGCGAAGAAGAAGAAGAACTCGTGGTTGACGACCAGGATAACCTAAAGGTAGAAGAATCAGCGGCGGCTCCTCTTAGGGAAATTGCCATTTGCATTCTTTCTCTCGAACTAATAGTATCTTTCCTTCTGTTATTCTTCTACGTAATCACCAACCATCGTTTTTGCCGTCTGGTTTATTGATGTTCAATCACAAAAACATATTGAAAGAACCTTCTGATCCACATAGTGTTTGAAACAATTTGTACCACTGGTTTTTGTGCCCTTGGTTCCATTTATTAGAGGAAAATTTGAAGATGAGCTTACACACTAGAGGACAAGAATCTCCTGGTGGTAGAAGCCAGAGAGAGAAGTGGTGTCTGCTTGTGGGTGATTAGTTGCAACCACATGATACTACAAATCCAAGACAGGTCCAACTTCTTCGCCTCGTCTTCTTCTGAGAATTACTCTTGCTAGAAAGTGCATTGCTTCGTGGCTTAAGAAATATCTGAATTTATAGGTTGAGTTAGAATCTTGATCGCTTCCAATTTTTTTTTTTATATATATTGCAGTTTTATCGTTTTCTCTATATGCCAAAATAATCATTAGATTTTTGTATTGTATCATATGTAATTAATTGGCATGTAAGATTCATATTAAGAGTCAAAAAATTACATTTTTTTAATTTGAAGATAAACAAAAAAATCAGGAAAAAGCTATGGAACTTTTTTTCCCCTAATCATTATGTTGCTGCAATATTATTTCTTTTTTTTTCTCATTTTTAAAATCATTCATTATCAAATACGGCGAAAAAAGTTTGTTTAATTATTCATCAAAGATTCAAACAAAAAGAATTACAGGTGCACTAAAGATTGAAAATGAAGGTACTTGCATAGCATTTCTTCTGGGTAAATGAAAGGAATTCTACATAAAATGATAGCTATAATTCAAAAGAACATCATGCGTACATTAAATTGTTATGACTCATCTTCTCTCCACACAAATCACTTCTCTCTATCTGTTCTGCTTCTCACAAAATATAATGCATGCAATTACAGAAGGGTCTGAAGAATCCAGAGACCGCTAACCAATCTGGTTCTTGTCGTCAACACAGTAAAATGGTGGGGAAGAGCACATTCCACAATTAAGTGGAAAAAATTATTGCAGCTTTTCTTTAGAAAAACTGCAATCAATAAGCACAGCACTCCCTGCACTCCTGCAGGGTACTATGTTAGTTTCTGAGCGGTTCTACTTCTCTTCTTTGGTGGGACTTGCTTAGAGGGAAAATTTTTCTGTTTAAATTTCTGGACCATGCTGTAAACCTGCATTAAACATACTTCACAAGTGTTAAAGAGGGGGAAAACAATATTTTATTCTGTTATAATCCATGAAATACACCAAATAATAATGCCGATCATTGAGGATGGACAAGTTTTTAGAAAACACAGCAGAGGAAACAAATGGAAAGTATTCAAATTTTAAATAGGTCTTGTTGCTTCTTCCTTCCCTTATCTGTTTCAATAACTTCCAGGTTTTATTTACATGGTCTCCTTCCATCAATCTACATCAGCGTTCTTTATTCTTAACAGCAACCATATTGGTCGGTGACAATCACTTAGATGAGGTTTAAGCCCAATAATTAACATACTGAAAAGTGCATTGTGTTTAAGGTCTATTTGTCTTTTCCAACATAACTACACACTACATACCATCTTACCTTTCTTACACTGGTTGTCAGTCCCGTACTTGAAAGGGCATTGCTATCTACCCATTTACAAGTTATAGTTTCATTCCCCTGGCTTTTGAAGAAATCACCTTTCCGCCCTTACAAAAGAAGAATCAAAATTAGAACACAAGAGTAGCATAGAGTAGCCATGATGCCATCATTTTTTTGTTTAAGATGCACATATGTAACTCTGCTTGCAAAACCATTTTAGACTCTTCTAAACTATGGAACATAAGATACTTGATGAATTTAAACATACATTTGCTGAAATAATGGCCAGTCAAAAGATGAAGACGGCTGCCAAATAACACATAAGACAGTATAGTCCTTTCAGACGCATGGAATGAACCATCTGCAATCTGTTAAACTATTAGATGCTGATTTTCCCTAAAAGTTTCAAAGTTTAATGGATTTAGATACTATCTCATGAAATTTAATTCATTAATTATGAAAATAAATTAAATTTGTCCAGAATAAACTACTTTAGAGAAGTCAATGACTCAGACCTTTCAATTGTAACACTAGCAATTCAACGTATAACTTGAGGCGAATATGACTGAAGATATGAACAAATTCTCCAACATCTTCCCTCAAAACTATGTTGAAGGACTTTTTGGTGTCAATTTTGAGCATACTTTTCAAGAACTGATTTGCTGCTTCTCTTCTATCCAAGGAATCAGTTTCTCCATCCAGTGGGACTGATGGAAACTCCCAGAGACCAGCAAGCAGTCCTTCACTGGGCCTTTTTACAAGAATAAATTCACTGCTTGATTGGTTGTTGTCCAACATTCCCTCAGATCCAAGTAACTCAACAACACATACTGCACAAAAATCGGATCTTTGTTTAACCTTTACACCTTTCACAGGATAATCCGTAACAAGTACTGAACTGTCATCTGTAGAGATTGATAGTGCGTGACAAAACTTTGATGCAGGACACGAGGAGCAGCTAGGGTTCAAAGGGGTGCATACAGTCGCCCCAAGTTCCATAAGAGCCTGATTGAAGTCCCCGGGCCGGAGGGGATCAACTAGTTGAGCTGCTAATTTCCTTAATCTCCATTCCAACCCAACATTAAAAAAAAAAATGAATATAAACAACCCCAGGTTAGGAACTTGTAACATAACAAGAGGAAAATACTCTAGTACTGAGATTGTCACAGCCATTCTTGTATTATAGGCACAGTCAATAGGAAGAAAGACAACTCATTTAGAAGCATATCATGTTAAATATGGACAATACAGGTTTATTAATTTGGTTTCTTTTTTTTTTTTTTTTTTTAAAAAGTGACTTTGTCTCTTACCTATAGTCTCTCAATCCGGTCAAGCATCATGTGAAAAACCGAATTTACAAGAAATGATGAATTACAATAGAAAAACAAGTCTCATCACCAAAGTCAAATAACATAGTTAGGATTACTTATAGAAAATTTAATTCAACATAATTCCAAGTAGTTCATAAAACTCACCAAAATCTCTTGATAGTTATTGAATCTTTTGGGTTTGCAGAAACAGCCTTTAGTCTGGCAATCACCCTTACCACATTCCCATCAACAACAGGTACAGCCTGCTATCTTAAACCATGAGCCATGGTTTTCTTTCCAGTGAACCAAAATTACAGGAATCACCTTTACCTCTTGGAATGCTATAGAGGCAATTGCTCCTGCAGTGTAGTCTCCAATTCCAGGAATCTTTCGTAGAGCAGAGACTGTGTTAGGAATTCTTCCTCCCTCTGCAACTATTTTCTTTGCTCCCTAAGAACAGAAACAAAAGAAATTATGATTAATTTATGTCTTTTGCTTCTTAAAAAGTAGTAGTAGTTCAAGAAGAACCATGATTGAAGACCCGTTTATAGTACAATTGTTAGCACTTTGCAGAATTAAGTCACAAGAAGGAAGCACAACAATTTCTTTTTTAATGGCTAAGAATCTTCATATTATATTACGTATACCTTTATACAACAATAATTGGTATCCAGTATTTAAGAAAACATATTCGGCATGAAACAGCTGAAAGCTGTCACGGAAATTGGAAAGGGTAAATTGGTTTGTTACAAGAAAAACAAATTACAATTTAACTCTTTGCAGTTTTAAGTGTCGCATTCAATACCATTATGGTTTGTTCAATTACCGATTAACCACCCTATGTAAATGAGCAAAACACATGCAAGTTGAATAAGACACTTAAAGCATTAGCAAACAAACTAATTTCAGGTCAAACCACATGTGGGTGAAGTGAAACTACCCTTTATGAAAGTTGTTAAGCTAGAAGTCCAAGGATATGAATTCCCCATGTTTTCTAGCATGATTTATCACATAAATTGCTGTCATTTTACACATCCTATATTTGATGACAACAAACATATGGGGATGATTATGGCAGTGTACCAAAAACCCCATCAAATGTAATTAGTCTTTAACCCATGCAGCACAAACAATGAATCATTTCCGAAGTCACCTCATAGAAAATAATGGAAAGTAAGGGAAAACAATGTTCAAGAGAAATAATACCTCTAAAAGAAAACGAGCTCTTCGATAGTAGCCCAAACCCGCCCACATTTCATTCACTTCCTGCATAAAGACAGAATGAATTATGAGGTGAGGAAACAACCGCTGCCGATTTAGGTAAATTTTTCTTCACTCAAGGAAAAAATATTGAAGCTTTTCTAAATATTTGAACCATTCCCAGGATAAAACAAATGTTTTTTGGTATCAGGATAGCTTCTGACCTTTTCAAATAAAAAAATTCCAACTGAATGTTTAATCCAGCAATGACAAAATAACAATTCAAATGCAGGAAAACTAACAGAATGAAGGAATAAACAAAGTAAAAATATGCTATCTACAGCAGAATAAAAGTAGAAATAAGAAATAAAAAACAGGGAAAAAAAGTTATGACAATATAATGCCCTTGATGCCCTGTATTTTCTGTCAGTTCCGTCTTCAAAATTATTCCTTTCTCAGCATCAAGAAACCTAGAATATCCTTCCATGCACAATTTCGGCTCTAAAGTCCTAGTTCCTCGGAGAAGACAACTCTCCTCTCAACCTACGTTTCAGCTCCAACAATCCTAAATAGCGAAACTAGAATTGAAGCAGAAATTAAGCTCTAAAACCTTGTATTATGCCAAATGCATAATGGAAATGTTTACATCAAGTTCACAACTTCTCATTACCATAGCATATTTAGATCAGTTGGCAATACAGAAAACGCAAATTTAAAACAAAAATTCAGAGAAGAAATGGCTAAGGCCTTCAGAACCGAAAGGCAAGATGATGTAACCCAAGAAAGAAAACATATGCGCGCGCACGAGGGTTTGTTTTTTTTTTTTTTTTTGTGGGGGGGGTGTTCAAGCAGAAGGCTTCAAACAGTGAAACCTATCAAAAGTAAAGCAAAATGCAGTAACTGAACCAAAGCCCAAAAATTTACACACAAAAACCTCAAGAGAGGCCTGTGCAAGGTCGTGAATGGTAGGCCATTTCTCCATCCAACGATTGTAATAGCCAATAACAGTCTGAACCCTAGTTTGCTGCAGCATTACTTCGGAGACCCACACTGAATACGCTCTTGAATCTACTTCCTCGTCGTCTTCTTCTTCTTGTTTTTCACAGCCATGATTGTTACTTGACGTCCTCCTCCATGGAAGGTCTCTACGATTATGATCGTACCACTCCAACAGAGCAACCCTTAATTTCTGGATTTCCTCTTCGCTGAAGCACTTGACAGCATCCTCGATGTCTTGTACTTCTGGCTGTGAGGGTGGTTTTTTTATCATCCGAATAGCATTCTTCGTCCCTCTGTTCCTCTTCCTCTGCTGCTTACTCCTGTCCGACATGTTTGAAACCACTGCTGACCCCAACAACGTTAAACTGATTCTTTCGAAGGTTGCAACCATTCAAGGAGCGAAAAGGAGGGCGATTTCAAGCGGCAAACTTATCCCAAACCCAAAATTTAAACCAGGTGTGTGTAGCAATGGCGCAATGCCCCTCCATATGGGAATAAACTCGTAACCCGAGCTCCTATATTTTTTTTTTGACCAGACCCGAGCTCCTATATTTTATACTTTATACTAAGTTTAAGATTTCGTGCGTGTATCATAAATAAGGTTTGGTGGAAAAAAAGAAGTCTTAATTAAAAACAGAGATAATATTTGGGAAAATGACAATAAAATACAACTTGAATTCTAAAAGGACAAATAAGGGACCTGAATAAGCAAAATGACAAATAGGGCACTGGGTACCAATTTGGAATTCATATTTTCAGCGAAAAGACCGAAATGCCCTTATCAGTGAGGTAAAATGAAGTGAAACTGAAATGAAAATAAAGATGGAGCAGAGCACCGGTTGAGCACATGAAGAAGGAAAGAGAAACGCTGGAAGAACACATCAGAGCTGAAAAGAGGTGAGTTTAAGTCGGTAGTCTTTGGAAATGGTATAATCTTACTCCTCCGCATCATAATTTTTTTGGGATTGCTGATTTAATAGATTTTGGTTGTGGGCAAGAGGTTTTGTAGCAAGAGAGAGAGTAAACATGTCGCATTAACTGATGGTGGGGTTTGGGTAGTTCCTTTTTGTGTCTGCTTTATGGCGCAATGGTGGGGACGGGTGTGCTGGAGATGAGGTTTTATACTTTATATTGACTATTTCGAATGACGTAGCGGAAATCAAGAAAGGTGGCAAGCAATTACGTAGGCGTGAAGTTTGCGTTCAAGTGGTGAACGTTGTTAAAATCAATAATGGAGTTGTGAAACCCTATAATAAAGTTGCGAATAGAAGAAAAGTTTCTCTCTTTGTGTGTGTTTTGGGTGTCACGTACGTTGATGGAAACTAATTGGCGGAGAAGTTAATTTTTTTATATTTAATGTTGTTTGCTGCAGGTTAGCAAGTGGTGATGTCTTGTAACATTGTATCAACATCTTCAAAAAGACTTGCTTGTTATTTTCACGTAGATGGGAAGTTTGTGGAAAAGGACAATGGCGAAGTTAAATACTGTGGTGGGACTGTCAGAGTAAGAGTAATAAATGAGGGTACAAAACTTGAAGATTTGAGGGCAATGATAGGCGAATGGTTCAGCATGGATTGTCATGGCTGTGATATTAAATACACTTTGAGTTTTGATGAGAGGGTATTGGTAGATCTTATAGATGATGGTGAAGTTGATAATCTATTTGAATATAATGACCGTAATGCACATATTTATATAGCACATAAAGGTAATGACAATGTGGAGGAAGGAATGGGTTATCCAGAAATGTAAGTGAGAAATTTTTTTTTGGTGGTTATGAAAGTTGATAATTGTTGTAATGTTGTAGTAAATCTCTTAACAACAGTGGTAATTATAAATGCAGGATCTCAAGAATGGAAGGACTGTCAGAACAGAGTGATGAGCCTACGTTGGAGGGAAATGCTTTGGAAAGTACAAGTTCTGGAGGCAGTGAAAGACCTAATGTAAGCCTACCATACGGAGTAGTGAGTGCACCTACACCTTTGCCGGAGATGAATTCTTTGAAATGGAAGGAATTGTTGTTAGGACGGAACCAAACTTTTGCAAATGCAGAAGATTTCAAGAAGAAAGTACATAAGTTCAGTATTGCAAACAAGTTTGAGTACAAGTATGTGAAAAATTGTAGGGAAAAAATGTATGTGAAATGTAGTGTTGAAGGTTGTCCGTGGAGGATAAGTGCAAGAGTGGGCAGAAAGAGTGCTCCCTTTTTACGTGTGGCAACATTCATAAATGAGCATGTCCATAATGCACAAGACAATCTTTGTGTGGAACATTGTGGTTCAGCTAGCTTGACAGCATCAATCATCAGAGATGAGGTAAATGATCACATAGACAGGCGTCCAAATGATATAAGGAAGACTTTAGAAAGAGATTATGGTATGAAGTTGACATATAAACAAGCATACAGGGCGAAGCAAAAAGCTTTAGAGGACATACATGGCAGGCCTGACCAGTCTTATATGCTTATTCCGTGGATATGTGAACGGTTGAAGGAAACAGATAACAAAACCGTGGCCAAATGGGTGGCTAATACTAATAACACATTTGAGCGTGCATTCATAGCATATGGGTGTTGTATAGAAGGCTTTATAGCTGGTGCTAGACATGTACTGTACATTGATGGATGTCATTTAAGTGGACCGTATAAGGGGACGTTACTGTCGGCGTCTGCTTATGATGCTGACAACGAATTTTACCTTTTGCGATTGCTATTGTAAAGGGAGAGACACTTGAGGATTGGACATGGTTCTTATATATGATTAAGGAGATAGTTGGCTCGATGGAATTGACAATTGTGTCAGATCGACACAATGCAATAATAGGCGCCGTGCAAGCAATATTTGGTGGTGAGAGGCATGCATACTGTTACAGACATGTTAAGGAAAACTTCAGTGCACAAATGATTAAATTAAATAGAGGAAAGAGGAAGACTAGTGGGAAAGCAAGGGAGGAGGGACTGCAATACCTGGATGCCATTGCATATGCAAGGCTTGACACCGAGTTTGATGGTGCAATGGATAACATGAGAAAGTTCAATCCACAATTATTTGAGTGGCTTCTTAATCATGGTGATGTTGAAAGGTGGGCCTTAAGTAAATTCCCATTTAAACGGTGGGATAACATCACAACAAACCTTGCTGAGTCATTCAATGCTTGGATGTTGAAAGAGAGACGATATAATGTTGCCCAACTTATACATGAGCATCGTGAGAAAGTGGCAAAGAAGATGTATGCAGCAAGCATAGCAATGAGTAATTGGAAAAATGGTGTAGGCCCAAACATAGATGCAAAATTGGTGGACAATGTTGCTAGATCAGCATGCATGCTGAGTGTACCTTATGGAGGAGGTAGGGTGTGTGTCCATACAGCAAAAGGAGCTGTACATGTTGATCTTGGTCTAGGCGAATGCACCTGTGCAGCTTGGCAAATGTCAGGCATTCCATGTCCCCATGCCTGTGCAGCGATTAAGGCTGTGAATTGCAATGTCTATGATTTTGTTGATGAATGCTACAAGATTACATCACAGCAAAAGATTTATGGCAGGAGTATGATTCCAGTGGCGACAGTAGACATGCCAAATCCTAACAATTACTGGGTGGAAAATATAGGAAGTCAAGTGTTCTTGGCACCGCCTTTGACTAATCGACCGCCAGGAAGGCCTAAAGTAAAAAGACGAGAGTCACAGTTCCAGAATAGGAAGATCTACCATTGTAGCACATGCAAACAAGTTGGGCACACAAGAAGAACGTGCAAGAATCCAAACCCAAGTTGAACTTAGATGTCAATAGATATGGTGATTTTTTGGTGTAAATAGTGTTGCGTGAATGGTAAATCCCATTGCACGTGTAGTGTAGTTAGTATGAAAGTTATGGTTCAATGTTTACCGTGCTGTACTTGAGGTGCAGACATTTGAATATATGTAATGCATCTGCTGTCATATTGCTGCTGGTTTTTGGTAAATACTGTTGCGTGAATGGTAAATCCCATTGCACGTGTAGTTAGTATGAAAGTTAATGGTTCAATCATGTCATAAATACTGTATCAGCTGTCATATTGCTATGTTTTTTGATAAATAGTGTTGCGTGAATGGTAAATCCCATTGCACGTGTAGTGTAGTTAGTATGAAAGTTATGGTTCAATGTTTACCGTGCTGTACTTGAGGTGCAGTCATTTGAATATATGCAATGCATCTGCTGTCATATTGCTGCTGGTTTTTGGTAAATACTGTTGCGTGAATGGTAAATCCCATTGCATGTGTAGTTAGTGTAGCTAGTATGAAAGTAAACGGTTCATGTTTATCGTGATGTACTTGAGGTGCAGTGATTTGAATATATGTAATGTATCTGCTGTCATATTGCTGCATTGTATTGTTCATGGCAGAAAATCTGCCCAGCCCGGCAAGAGGGTGCAAAACCCAGTATAAAAGTAGTAAATACCACTGAAAGAGTTGTAAATCCCTCTGTGTTTTGCAAAATTCACCTCCGACCTTTACCGTTTTGAGACCAAAGTTGCGCAGGCCAATTTTTTTGGGATGCAAAACCCACTGTAAAAGTAGTAAATCTCAGTTGAGAGTTGTAAATCCCTCCGTGTGTTTTGCAAAATTCACCTCCGACCTTTACCGTTTTGAGACCAAAGTTGCGCAGGCCAATTTTTTTGGGATGCAAAACCCACTGTAAAAGTAGTAAATCTCAGTTGGAGAGTTGTAAATCCCTCCGTGTGTTTTGCAAAATTCACCTCCGACCTTTACCGTTTTGAGACCAAAGTTGCGCAGGCCAATTTTTTTGGGATGCAAAACCCACTGTAAAAGTAGTAAATCTCAGTTGGAGAGTTGTAAATCCCTCCGTGTGTTTTGCAAATTTCACCTCCGACCTTTACCGTTTTGAGACCAAAGTTGCGCAGGCCAATTTTTTTAGGGATGCAAAACCCACTGTAAAAGTAGTAAATCTCAGTTGGAGAGTTGTAAATCCCTCCGTGTGTTTTGCAAAATTCACCTCCGACTTTTACCGTTTTAGGATGAAGTAGCACAGCCCAATAAACATACGGTTGGAAAACCCACTGAACAAGTAGTAACACTCACTGTAAAAGTTGTTATTCCCACTATGTGTTTTGTCAAACTCAGTGTGGTATTTGTGTTTTTCTTGAGTTGCCCTGCCTCTCAAAACAGGTTGTCAAACCCCTTCAAGAAGTGGTAAAATTCGCTTCTACAGTTGTAAATCTCGTCACATGTGTTGTAACAATTTGGAAAAATGGTTTAACATTACTTGAAAATGAGTTGCCTTTACAATCCCTGAAAACAGTTTGCAAATTCCCTTACATACATGACATTAACTAACACATCACTAAACTTAGACAGCGTCATTTACTGCCGTGATGCACGCTGCTTTTCCTCGGTGTGGGTTCTGGGGATGACAGCAAGTTCAATGCTTCTTCACGTCTTGAATTGAGCTCATGATTAACAAGCCACCACATTAGGTTTCGTCGGAAATCAGCAACATGTTCTTCACCGTAGTCAAGCGTCACACCGGGCTCCCATTTGCTCAACCATATTAAAACATGAACGCCACAGTCTCGCCTGCACATGGCAACAATGTCCATGAGTGAAACACGAAGTAGCATTCATACATTATTACATCAACAACTAATACCACTCACAGATTGTTCTGTTGAGGAACAGGGGCCCAAATAATGTCACTCATCTGCTTCTTTCCAATGGTATTGGGCTTTACTATCTCAATCATATCATAAAATCGATCCCTCTGCACAACACATACTTGCATTTGTAAATAATTTGGTAAACAAAGAGCATGCTACACAAGAACAGTAACAATAGTCTTACACATCCGGTCACCACAGTCATCATATCATCATCAGCTGCACCTTTCTTCTTACTCTTCTTAGCAGGAAAACTTGGCTTCATTGAGTCCAGCACATAGAAATTCATTGTCTTAGGCTCAAGCACAAGACAAAACCAGTGAGCACCAACAAGTGTAGGTCCAAATATCAAGTCACAGTCTCCTATGTTGTAACCGACATATTCAGGCAGCAACTGCTTTTCTCGTTTTCTAGCATCCCACCGAGATGGGTTCGCAGCTAGTATTGCCTGCAGCATCAAATGATTAGTCATGTAGCAGTAATTATTTTGTATTAATCTTAGTAACCTTACCATAAAGTCAGCATCAAATATGTGTCGCTTGACTTCTCCTTCGCTCTTCATATCAGCCAGTAAAGTCTTGCACACAACTAACATAAGCTGTTTGCAAGTAAATTTTAGTTTTTTGCACAGGTATACATGAGCATCAAATATAAATTTATAGTACTCAGCCGAAGATCACAATACTAACTTACCCGGTTACCTATTCTCTCAATTCCTCCAAGTGTCCTTAGCTGATCTCGAGTGATATCCTCATCAGATATTTTAACTAAAGTCCTAAAAATGTGTTCCCAGTATCATTATGTGTGTAGTTAATTAGTAAACAATCGATAAGTAATATCATTCACAGTCATGCGAATAGTAACTTACACATCACCCTCCTGCCTTGAACACATGCGGGATATCATGTTAAAAAACTTGTCCTTTTCCTCCATATTCCTCTTCTTCCTCTTCACAGGCATCGTCAAAATCCATGGAGAATTTATGGCCGACTTCACCTCCCTCTGTGATCTCCTGGGCTGTGCATTCTTGTCCATGGGGGAAACATCAAGGGAATCCATATCTCCTGCTTGTATTCCTTCTTCCTCAACATCAACCATGTCAGCCTCGTCCGAGTCATCTCCATGATGAGGTATGTGTCCTGAGTCCTGTCCATCATCATCATCTCCCTCATTTTCATCATCACCATCATCAGCTTCATCTTCTCCCTTATATTCAGCTCCAACTTCACTAGGGCCCTCATCTCCCACAGTATGATTTTCCTCCATCGTTATGTGCACCTTATGTAGCTCATCCTCTACTGCACTAACAAGTCTCTTGTAGCTTAAATCAATTACAGCCATCAACTTTTGATGTAAGCTTTGCAACTCCTGCATCACATCATTAAAAAAAGGTCAAACACTTTATCTTTTTAATGCACATTGAAATTACGAAGCAAATAAACACACCGGGTGTAAGTCAGCGACACTTCTCCTTCTTCTCTCCTCATCTCCAACCCTAACTTTCGAGCCCTTCTGCTTATACAATAGGCCTCTGTTGCTCCGCCTTTCCTTCTTTGTCATCTCCTTTATCCTCTCATCAGTCCAGAATTGAATAGCACTTATTGACCCATCTCTAACAGATTTAGATAATGGGAAGCGCTCAGCAAGATATAACTGCAACATCAAATTATTAATTTTATCATCACTCCATTCAAACATAGAACAAAAAACAATGGTAGTAAATACATACCAATAAGAGGTAGATGCATCCTCCGACGTTGCAACTCCCTTCATCATTGTCTTCCCCTACGTTTCTATACACTTCAACATAATCTTCCATCTCTTTCCACAAGTTGTTCACAATGTATGTGGCCCAATCAAATTGGTGAAATTCATGCATAGTACAACACATCACCCTCACTAGCTTGTCACTCACTGTTGTTTGTGAGGTAGGAGCTAGAAAACTCCCAAGTGTGTACAGCATGAACAAGAACTCAAAATTCTCCTCATTCTCCCCAGATTTAATGTCTTTGAGTATCTTGGTAAAAGAGACTTTACCATATTCATTCTTCAACCTCTTGTATGTTTCATCATCATCATCCACATCCGTTCTTACCTTTTCCCCTGTGTGGGGTACCTCCAACAACTCCGCAACATCTTGTGCATCAATTTCCTTGATCTTCCCCCTTATTGTAAATTGATGAGTAGGCGGATCATATGCTCGAAGAATGCGTACTATGAGGTCACGAGGGAGTCTCTCACATCCCATGTCAAGCAAACTTGCAAATCCCAAACTTTGTACCTTGGCTTTCAATCTGTCATTGCTATTTATAAATTCCACCAATGACTTGTATTGCCGGACTGAGCAACGAGTGCTAAAAGCAACTTTTTTCATCCGCTTCTTCTTCGTCCCTTGCTTCTTTGGTTTGTTCACTTTATCATTATACTTCTTCCTCTCCTCTGGTGGCAGCTCCCTCCATGCCTTTGCTCCCTCCCTAACTTCTTCTCTCCTATTCCTAAACTCTTTGCCCGCCTTAAATTCATGCAGAAACAGCATGTACCCACTCTTCACTTGTCCACTTCCCTCTCCTTGTCCTTCTACTTGTACTTGTAACTCCATTTTCCCTGCTGCAATGACACCACTTGTTAGTCATTCATAGTACTATATTTCTTTCACAACAATGTCGTCAATTCCATCAACAAATGTGGTCAATTACACTAACAAATATAGTAAATTTTATTAACATATCATCAAAATACCATTGTCCACTCAATTAACAAGTGTAGTCAAGTCCACTAACAAATGTAGTAAATATCATTAACATATCACCTACAAAACCATTGCACAGTCAAATGAATTTGCATCACGACGATGTTGTTATTCCTGTAACAAATCTGGTCACTTTCATTGACTAATGTAGTAAATTCCACTAATAAATGTTGTAAATATCATTAACATATCACCTACAAAACTATTGCAGAGTCAAATGAATTTGCATCACGGCGATGTTGTCATTCCCATAACAAATCAGGTCACTTTCATTGACTAATGTAGTAAATTCCACTAATAAATGTTGTAAATATCATTAACATATCACCTACAAAACTATTGTAGAGTCAAATGAATTTGCATCACGGCGATGTTGTCATTCCCATAACAAATCAGGTCACTTTCATTGACTAATGTAGTAAATTCCACTAATAAATGTAGTAAATCTCATTAACCTGACCTACAAAACCATTGCACAGTCAAACGAATTTGCATCTGCTCACTTTCATTGACTCATGTAGTAAATTCCACTAATAAATGTAGTAAATCTCATTAACCTGACCTACAAAACCATTGCACAGTCAAACGAATTTGCATCTGCTCACTTTCATTGACTAATGTAGTAAATTCCACTAATAAGTGTAGTAAATCTCATTACCCTGACCTACAAAACCATTGCACAGTCAAATGAATTTGCATCTGTCACTTTCATTGACTGATGTAGTAAATTCCACTAATAAATCTAGTAAATCTCATTAACCTGACTTGCAAAACCATTGCACAGTCAAATGAATTTGCATCTAGTCACTTTCATTGACTGATGTAGTAAATTCCACTAATAAATCTAGTAAATCTCATTAGCGTGACCTACAAAACCATTGCACAGTCAAACGAATTTGCATTGCTCACTTTCATTGACTGATGTAGTAAAATCCACTAATAAATGTAGTAAATCTCATTAACGTGACCTACAAAACCATTGCACAGTCAAACGAATTTGCATTTGCTCACTTTCATTGACTAATGTAGTAAAATCCACTAATAAATGTAGTAAATCTCATTAACGTGACCTACAAAACCGTTGCACAGTCAACTGAATTTGCATCTGCTCACTTTCATTGACTAATGTAGTAAATTACACTAATAAATGTAGTAAATCTCTTTAACATGACCTACAAAATCATTGCATAGTCAAATGAATTCGCATCACGACGTTGTTATTCCCCTAGCAAAACTGGTCACTTTCATTGACTAATGTAGTAAATTCCACTAATAAATCTAGTAAATCTCATTAACATGACCTACAAAACCATTGCACAGTTAAATGAATTTGCATCACGACAATGTTGTTATTCCCGTAACAAATCTGGTTACTTTCATTGACTGATGTAGTAAATTTCAGTAATATATCACCTCAATATCATTGTCCACTCAATTGAATTTGCATCACAAGCATGTTGTCATTCCCTTGCCAAATCTATTATTTTCCATTGCCGAATGTAGTCAATTACTCTAATTAATGTTGTAAATTTCATTAACATATCACTTAACAAATGTAATCATTGCCAACACAAATTTAGTCCTTCTCAGACCAACAGTTGTTATTTCAAAACCAAACCCGCTAGTACTATTTACTACTTACCTCATCAAATTTACTACTCGGCTAATAGAATTACTGCTTGCTAAATTACTACAACAGGATAACCTTTGCAAATTTTACCCACGCAAGGACAAACTTTTCACCCTAAACCATTCAATGAAAATGAAAGTAACTTTGTCATTGCCGCGCATGCAGACCAAATTAGTGGAATTCTACTTCCTTAAAATCCCACCCTCTCCACATAGAAAGCTATACTCTTTTTAGAAAAGTCAAATAACACCGACAAAACTATCCTTTCTATTTTGTTCTTTTCCTTCAAATCAAAATAAACCAATCCCCACAACAAAAGCAATCCCCTGTTCCAATTAAAGGCCACCCAAAATGGTTTAAACACTATCAATCACAATCATTTCCAAATATGTACACAACCAAACACATCAGCAATAACATGGAAACAACTTTTTTCGTCCTAGAGCAACTTCTATGGGAACAACAAAGACGGAACCACAAAGAGCATCACTGCATAATTACATTTTAAGCTTCGGGGACCCATCGAATGAACAACAATATTCAAGTTCCCTACCTGTTTAGTTTCGAAAGCGACAGCGGCAATGTGATTTCGGCGACCGCTTTTTCGTTACTAGAGGACCTTCGATTTGGTTTCGCCGAGTGGGGGCACTTTCTGTTTCGGCGGGTTGCTCTCGTCGGGTCGGCGGGTTGCTTTCGTCGACTGGGCGAGGTAGTTCTAGTTCCTGTTTCACTTAGTGGGGGGTTGCTTTCGCTGAGTGGAAGCAGTTCCTCTTTCGTCGAGTGGGGTGTTGTTTTCGCCGAGGAGTCGGTTTCCGCCTTTTCTCCATCTCCTCAAGTTTCAAACATCTTAAGGGCATTTCGGTCTTTTCGCCGAAAATATTAATTCCAGATTGGTTCCCAGTAACCTCCTTGTCATTTTGCTTATTCAGGTCCCTTATTTGTCCTTTTGGAATTCAAGTGGTATTTTATTGTCATTTTCCCATAATATTTTATGCTCCTCCCCATTATTTTTTATAAACGAACAGCTACTATTCCTCTCTTATATTTAAATATAAATAATATTTACAAGTTATCTTAAATTTTTTAGTAAATTTTCTATTTTATCCCATTAATTACTTATTTTAATATTTAATATATTTATTATCATATTTCTCAAACTATCATTTCTCTCTATCACATATTCTCTTTTTTTTTTTTATAATTCTCTTTATTACAATAATTTTTTATTCTCTTTTTTATACTCTCTTCTTATAAATAAGGGTATTTCCAAAAAAAAATTTAATTTTTATTTATTTATTATTTTTAACTAATTTTTTTATTTATGTAATAAAATTCCATGTTGTTTATAAAAAGACGCGAAGGGAGTACTTATATTTTTGCCATGTTTTTTTTTTTTTGGTTAAGGAAGGCAACCACCAGTCCACTAGGCTGGAGAGTTACAGCAAAATAAAGTCAAAAAGACCGCGATGCTTGAGGTGGATTCTGACGAAAGAGTCTGACCAGTGACCAATTCCTACATTCCTGTCACTCAAAAAACCCTCTGAAAGATCCTGGATCATCAAGTAATCTTGCTCCATTGCATGAGCTGTCTAAGGTATTGATATTAATAACTGAGAAAACTAATTTTGAACATCTTTATAATTTAACCAATTTTGAATCAGATTCTTAGACTTTTTTTTTTTAATTATTGGGTCTGTTAAATTTCTACCTGTTTAATCCCTTATCTTTAAAACCGTTAAATAGAGGCAAACGGTGTTAAAAAAAAAATCCATTAGCTTTGACTATATGATTGCTCCAGTTTCTGCCTCTTTCGGCTCCTCTCAGCAGGCGCACATACGAATCTATACGAGCTAATATTGCAGGAATCGCTTCAGAAAGATCCGGAAAGAATAGTTCTAGGTTTGTTGATGGAGTGGAACCTGTGAATATCAAACTCTCCCATTTATGCACTACTGGTATGCCTTTTCTTCTATCCTTAACGCCTCCTTTTCTTTCATTTATTTAGAGAGGTATGCTCTCAAGATTTGCCCCAAGAGTTGTGTTCTTCTCTCATTACTTTTGCCGGTTTTGGTTCTCTATTATTCTTTTCTGCGTTGTTTTCGCGAATATTTCTCGGTTAGGTCTTTCTTCCTCCTTTTCTCTCCTTGGCCATTTAGATTCAAGGGGATTTCATTAATCTCACTTTTGGGGCTTTCTATCTGGCAGATTTGTATTTCTGTGCGATTATTGCCCTTTTCTTTTGTTGTTCTCTAATTCTCTAAGTGATTCATATGAGTGCTTGCTGAGGGGAGCCAAAAGAAACAAAGCAGTAAGCCAGTGACAATCAGAGTCAAATTTAACAGAATTTTTAACACCGTCTATCTCTATTTGCTGGTTTTAAGAACGAGGGATTAACGGATTTAACACGAGAAACTTAAAGGACCCCATGTAAATGAGTTTGATCTAATTAACTAATTTGAATATATTAATAATATTAGTAATTAATTAATATGATATATTTTTTAAAAACATCTTAAATATCTTAATTTTCTTCTTTTCTTCTCTACTTGATCATTGTTGAGTGAATATTAATAGGATTAATTTTGAAAAAAAAATTATATACATATCAAATAGGTCTTATATTCATAATCAACATTAACTTCACAATTACATTAAGACATGGTGAAGTATAATATATTGGAATATGAAACTCTAATACTATCTCCAATCTTTAATATAATATTCAATTAACTAATTTAGGAAGATTAAGAAAGTTACTAAAGTATTTAATTATAACATATATTATATGATCTTTCTAAAACACTTATGTGGATTATTAGATTATATATTAATTTATAAGTTAGATAAATTAGTTTAGAGAAAATGATCAATATAAATAGTTTAAAGTATAACTTTCTTAATTTCCTCCGATTCATGAATCGGGTCTTACATGAAGGACCAATTTGTATTATTTATAAGTGGTGGACTGTGTAACTTATTTCTAATAATTCATGTGCACACAGAATTTACATCTAGTGTTCATCTCCAAATAACGATTATAATTTAATAAAAAAGAGTTAATACAATTTTTAGTTTTTTATATTTATCCTCATATTAATTTAGTCAAGTTTCAAACAATAGATTTTAATCCCTCGAGTTTCTTTCTATCCAAAATATTAATTCCTATAATTTAAGGGTTAATACAGTGATTAGTCCCTATAATTTTTATTCATTTTGGTTT